TGTGTGTGTGTGTGTGTGTGTGTGTGTGTGTGTGTGTGTGTGTGTGTGATCCCCAGTGGCCCCTGTCCTGTTTCCTGTTCCCATCCCCTGTGCCCGGATCCCTGGCCCCGACCAATCCCCCCACTCCCACCCCTCATCCAGGCACAGGCTCAGTGCACTATAGCTGTGAAGATGGTGTATGAAATTCTTGGGGGCAATCAAAGAAACATTAGGCCACCAGGAGGACCCCACCCTTGGAGCTATACTCTGCTGGCTTAGAATTTATGTTCACCCAGACCACCCCAAGCCCTGAGACTCAGACAGAGACCAGAAAATCGCTATCTGTGTTTTGAGTGTTAGAAAAACAAGTTTAGATAGTATAATTTAAACCAGAAATATAACAAAAGTGAAGAAGCTAGGTTTGGATGCCTTAAAATATAAGAAATCTTGTTTCTTATATGTAGGCATCTTGCCACTTACTTTTATTAATGCCCAGTAACATTAGCTTAACCTACATGTGTTCATTTTGCAGGGCTAAGGCCAAATGTCGGATAACTTATAAAGGAGAGATTCTTTGGCCTGTGGTGAGAAAGCCGTAGTGGAGGTCATGGCAGCCGGGTGTGTGGTTGGTGTGCCTCGCATCCTGAAGACCCGGGACACAGAGGGAGCAGGACCAGAACAGGAGTCAGCCACAACCTTCAAAGTTTCATCCTTAGTGGCCTCCTTCTGCCATAAAGGCCTCATCCCTTAAAGGGGGCTTCACAGCCCCCTAAAACAGAGCTGCCAACTGTAGGCCAACTGTTCAGAACAGCAGCCGATAGGGGGACATTCCTGAGTCAAGCCATAATACAGTTGTGAGAGATTCCCACAACGAGAACACTTGAAGTCAGCAGGAAAATGATCGGAGCCTCTCCTCTCTGTGCCTCTACCATTTCTCCCAAACAGTGAACACCAGAAATAGCTGTGATTTCTCCCAAACAGTGGGCACCAGAAATCTGTACCTCTCCCAGGGTTGCTCGGTGGCTTTTCTGTTAAACCTGGGCAGAAGGAAAGGGAACATTTAAGTGTCCTAAAAATACCTCCAATTATGTTAGACACATGGGGTGACTTGGGGACACTATTAGGAAGGGGTTGTGTTTGGGTCATTGTTAGATGCTGATAGAGACTGTTGTTACTAGGACAAAGTTACAGGTCTGTCGCCTTTCACAGCCACCTTTTTGTAATCTACAGTGAAAAACCACCTACCTAAGGACATTTTAAGAAAACACAATACAATTTTATCAGTTTTGACCCTCACATTGTATATTACATCTTTAAAGTTGTTTTTAAGCCTGAATAATATTCCTTTTTTTTTTTTGTGAGAGAAAATCCATTCATTGGTCAATGACTGTGCAGGCGATTTGTATATCTTGTCTATCTTGAACAAGGCTGCAGTGAGCACTGGGATTTGTTATTTTATAAGGTGGTGATATCCTTTCTTTTAGGAGTGCTGGGTCATATGGTATTCTATTTTTAACTTCTTTACAAACTGCCATATTCTTTTCCATAGTATTTGAAGAAAATACTATTTTTAAGAACAAGGCTTGCTTTTCATCTAGTATAAAGAGAGGTACAGACCAATAGGATAAGACTCGCCATTCAAGAAAACCAACTGAATATAGATCTGCCTCCCAGATTCCACTGAAACAATAGAAGAAATCCAAATTATGAAAGCAAATCATAAACAGTTCCCATAAGCCAGAGCATTGTCGCTAGAAGCCCAGACAGTGACAAACTTAGAGAAGAAACAGGAGAGAAGCAACTAGTGCCAAACTCTACAGATCTGGAGATGCCATCTGCCCAAAGCCAGCATGGAGGCATGTCCCCAGACAGTGAGGCATGCTACCCAGAAGCTCCAAGGACTCTCAGGTCAGCACTAGAAACACACAACTGTCTCCTCTACAAGACAGGAGGTCACAAATGTTCTCCCCAAAACTGTGCTTCTTCTGAGGCAGCCCAGATGGGGTGCTCAGCCACCACTACTGACTTGAAGACTGAACGGTGTCACCTTGTCACCCTGAAAACAGAGCACATCGCACCTGCTTCCTACCCCTCAGCCAAGGAGCAGCGCATGAGGAGACCTGGGGGCCACTGGCTTCAGGTGGGCAAACTGTAAGTGGAACATGAGTGCCTACCCAGGCAGCCCAGCAGCAGGCGTCAGGGTGAGTGTAAACGCCACAGCCCTGGGCATTAGAGCTGGCGACAGTGAGGTGCAGTTTCCACTGTGCTGTGACAGTGCCTCCGTGAAATACTTGATAAAACATTATAACAACCAGAGCCCTCTCTCCTGCTAGAGACCTGCTTACCTGGCTTGGGAAGGTTCCCTTCAGTCTCACTCCAGCTCCTTTTTCTAACACATTCAAATAATATTAAATTATTACCTATTTATAGACAGTACTGCATCTTCTGAAATTCCTGTTGATGTGCACAGGCAGGAACACACAAATGCGAGCTGCCTGCTGTGGGTCCTAGGAATCAAACTCGAATCCTCTGGAAGAACAATATGCACTCTTAACAGCTGAGCCATCCCTCTAGCCCCTCATGCTAATCCCTCCAGGGATCACTTGTGCCTTCAGAAAGAACCAGATGTCAGCTGTCACCCTGGGGCCTCTTTCCCTCGAGCAGAACCTAGAGGGCAATGGTCTCAGTGGCTCTGAAGAGAGAGCTAGGTGGGACATGAGACTGAGGGACCAGCAGCACCACGGGCAACTTGCCCCAAGCCCAGCCTTTATGTGTGCATCACAGCCACAAAGACCAGAAGATTACCAGCAAGACTGAGTGTGCTGAGTCCAGATGCCAAC